CACGGTAGCGCTTGAGCTTGAAGCGCTCGTAGTGGATGACGTGCTGAATGACGTTGTTCAAGAACTTGCTGTCGTGGGAGATGACAATGGATGTGCAAGGAGAGCTGGTGAGGTAGTCCTCGAGCCACTTGACGTTCTTGACGTCCAAGTGGTTGGTGGGCTCGTCGAGCAACAGAATGTCGGGCTTCTCGAAGACGGCACGAGCGAGCGCAAGCTTCATCTTCCATCCACCAGAGAGGGCACCAATGGTACCGTTGTACATGGCGTCGGTGAAACCGAACTCGTTGAGGGTAGTCTTGACCTCGGACTCGGGGGTCTCGACACCGACGGCCTTGAGCTTGTTCATGGTCCACTCAAGAACGGTCATCTCAGTGTCAGCAGAGTCCAAGTCGTGCTCGACGTAGACGGTCTTGACCTCGTTTTGCTTGGGGAAACCCTCGACCTGCTCGTTGTTGATAGCGCGCATGAGGGTGGTCTTTCCGGAACCGTTGGGTCCGAGGAGACCGTAACGCTGACCACGCTTGAGACGGAGATGGGTCTGGTTGAGCAGAATCTTAGCACCGTAGGCCAAGTTGAATGTGCAGTTGCAGAGGTCCTCGCCCTCCTCCTCATCGGGCTCGACGGCGCGCTCAGCGGCGGCACCGGGGAGAGATCGCTTGCGGGTGTCCTCAGTGACCTCCTTGGCCTTCTCGTCGCCGACAAGGACGGCAACGAAAGGACCGGCGTTAGCCTGCCAGTTAAGAGGCTCGTAGTCCTTCTCGTCGATCAGCTGACCACCAATGGCACCAACGTAGTTGACGACAGGGGTGAAACGGTCGTCGATCTTGATGCTGGAGGGGATAGCAGCCTTGAGGTGGTTGGCGATGGTGGAGATGTCACCAGACTTCTCGATCTCGGGAGCCTTGCCGTTCTCAACGTGACCGACACGGATGAGGGTGTCGAGACCCTGGCGGGTCTTCTCACGAGCCTCGGGGTCAGCCAAGTTGTCGTGGTTCTTCTCAAGCGCGGGCATGAGACGGGGCAAGAAAGCGGCGACAATCTGGGGGTCCTCGACAAGCTTGCACATGTTGTCGATAATGACGGCAGACTTACGCTTGATGGCAGTCTCGCGCTCGACGAGACCACGCTCAAGCAGGGGAACCATGATAGCGAGGGTGGGCTCGTGGACGTCAGTGACGAAAGTGGTGGCACCGAGCAAGTGAACGGTCTCGGGGACGTTCTCAGGCTTAGCGATACACTTGATGAGCTCGGGAATGAAGCGCTCGATATCCTTGTTGGAGATCAAGGAGCAGAGAACCTCCATGGTGCCGTAGGCAGCCTTCTTGACCTCAGGCTTGGTGTCCCACATGGCACCCGAGATGACGGGAATCAGGTCGGGAACACGGAAAGCCATCTGTGCGGGGGCGCTCTTGGTGAGGACCTCGATGCACTTGAGGTCGGTCATCTTCTCGGGCCACTTTTGTGCGTTCTCCAGCGAGTGGATGATGTGGGGGATGATGGCCTTGACGGCGTTGGGGTTGGCAGCCATGACGATGGACTCGGCGGCGGTCTGAGCAGCGACCTTGACGCCGCTCATCTTGTCACCGACCGCGGCCAGCACGTCCGGCAGGAGGGAAACGAGGTAGGGCTCGACAGAGGCGGAGACGTGCGAGTGCTGGGCGATAGCACGGATGGCATCGAGAGCGCGCTCACGGGCGACGGCATCCTTCTTGCTGGCGAGTTGCTTCTTAAGCACCTGGACAGCCCTGGGAGAGTTGTTAGAGACTGCAACGTGGCAAGCGAGAGGCAGAAGGGAGGAACATACTTGGTGGGAGCGTCAGCCTCCTCAATGTCGCCGTTGATGAAGGTGGCGATGGCCTGAGCAGAGGCGTTGATCTCGTCCTGGGCCTTGGACACGGTCAACTTCTGCATCATCTCCTCAAGCGCCTTGAGCGACTTGGAGTTCTCGGACTTGATGTCCTTGGCATCGTGCGAAGCAGCAGGCGCCATTTTGTCGGTGATGTGTGGAGGGGGAGAGGTGTGTAGAAAGAAGGTGGGTGGAGGGGCGGTGGTCCTTATATGGACTTAGGCGGCGGGGCCTAAAAAACTTTTGGCGTGAAAAGATAGAGTGAATCTATCCGGGGGTATCAAACAACAGGCGCGAGAAACGTGACTCGCAACCTTTCTAATACCTGACGCAACGACACAAAGAAGGGAAAGTACTTTGGGTCAGCCCAGAGGGAGAGTGAGTGTGGAGAGGTGGCAGTAAAGGTTATGGAGGGGCTTTTTATGCCTTGGTGGGCTGTCTCGCTCGCTTTGAGAAATTTCTCCAGGCCAGGGCGCCGATAAGATTAGCGTGCACTCCAGGACTGGCCCGTGCGGCGAGGAACCGGACACCTCGCCTTCTCGCAATTGCCCATGATTTCATTCGAGCCCGAGCGAACGCCAGAGATTTCGCTGTTGCCGCACTTCCCCAGTTTTCCGTTACCACCTGCCAATTGTTCTCTCTATTTACTGATGGCAGAGGGGCAGCAGCATTGCCGCCGCCGTGAGCCATGTCGCAGCCCACGTTGCAAAAGTCCTTCTATTTGTGGCGAGTTTGAGCCAGGCGCGCTGACCGCCTTCTCGAAACACCGTGACCAACGACATGCATCCAACCGTTGGGAGCCGCGGGAAATGCAGCGCTGAAGATCAGGGACTGCACTAATCCAACCCGACCGCCATTGTCAGCATTCACATAGTACTCATATCAAGCACGGCATCCGTACGTCCCATGTCTGCAAAATCTTCCATCTCGGTCGTTGAGTGCCGTAGAACTCAACTTTCTTCTAGCTCAGTCTACATACGGGTGTTCCCATACTATGCGGTAGCCTTGCCGGTTACTGTTCGTACAGCCTTGCCAAGTCGTCGCGCTACGGCCATTTTAGCGGAGGCTCCAGACTTATCCCAAACCACCTCCCCGATTCTGCCGAAGTCGAGGCGGCAAGCATTTCTGGACCCTTGCCACCTTGTCCAGACGTCCACCGAGCCATCACCGGGCAACACTCTGCCCAAAACATCAGAGAAGGCAATGTCTTCCGAGGCCGCGTCCACGCACAGCACATTACGTATCAAACTTGGCCCTTCCGCTGTTGCAGTACATCGATACAGCTTTCCCTAGCCACGGAATTAGTCATGGTATCTCTGCCCAGAGGCGATGCTGGTTATATACGCGGGAGATTCAACCAACGATGTGATTCTAGCAACACAACATTCTTCCACGGCGTCAACCTTCCGGACGTCGTGAATTGTCGCTTCAGCCATGCTGCGCTCCGGGCAACCCCCACTTCTTATCGATACCCCGGATTTTGACATGTCAGAGTTGCTCACAGTACGCTTGTACCAATCCGTCACATCGCTAGTAGACGTGTCTACAGTGCACATCGCGTCGACGCCAGGTTGTGTGAAAGATGTCGTGGATTGCGAGCTACCATACATGTGAATGTGGTGAAAACTTATGCTTGTGCAGATGTGTTGCAGTTAGATTACTATCTTCTTCAAGGCCGACTAAAGACATACGTCCTACTGAGTATCAGTCTTCAAACTGGAAGAAGCAACCAATACGTTAAAGTCGGAGATGCTCATCCATGTTAATGTATGCTCTTTTCAAGAACCTTCTTCGCTTAAGGTCTTCACTTACTTCCGCTCTCAAGCCTTTCTGGTCTGCTCAATGTGGATATCTTATCGACAAAACCCGATTTGGCTGTCGTTTGCATATCAGCAGTATTGAATAACGACCACGAATTTTGGTCTTGTGAGTTTTGGCGTTTCAAACTGGCAGTCGGCCACTGGCTTTGGTGTCTCGCGGTTCGACAGTAGATAAGAAAAGAGGAAGACCAGTATCTTGTTCGGCAGCGTGCAGAGGCGTTTCCTCACATCAAATCGCTTTGAGGTGTTCGTAGACTTCCATTTCTGACTGTTCAGACTGATCGCGGACGGTTCTAGCACACAGTTTCTTCAGAAAAAGAGCTGAACTATACAAGACATGGAGCATCAATGCCGTGATTCTGGTCCGCCCAAACAGCGCTGAACATCATCGGATGCACTATTGTATTTTTTTGATTAGGAAAGACTGCTGGTAGGAAGAACAGTGGATGAGAAAGCAAAGGATGTAGGACTTTGTAGGGGGTTTACAGCAGGCAAAGCTTGTATGTCAGCGGATACTATCAACGTTTGGGAATGTCCAAATGATTAATTTCTCGAAATTAGCATGAGTACTGAGTATGTAACCATGAATCTGCCTGACACAGTCACAAGCATCCTACATATGCTATCTGTTGAGTCTTCTGAGGTCATGTTGGAATTGCTATCCCACTGATAATCGGTATCAAGGCTCCAAAGTTGTACATTCCATCGATGGTGTCTCACCTTTTGAAAAAGCTTCAGTGATAGGACGATGTCATGGAGGGGTATACCGAGGCGTTTCGCCGATAACCTTCTGAATACCCAGATTGAAGAGATGGAAGGAGTAAAGCAGGAGAGCTGTCGTCGTCCAAAGAAAACCCCTAAGCATTAGGCAACAAGATTGCAGTAGATCCGGCTGAAGTTAATCCCGCATCATTAGCAAGTCTTATACCTATTCGAGATGCCTCCAACCGCGTTTGTTGCGGTGAAAGTAATCTCAGCTGCGCGAGTGGAGCGAAGGATGGCCAGTGGTCAATGCTGCGCCCCTCAGCCAAATCTCCGGTCATGTCCGAAGTCCACATCACCAAATCGCTCACAGCTCAGCCGCGATGAGACCCATGTTGAACCCATTAGGCATGACCGACGTTCGTAAACATGTGGCGCGCGCAGTCAGCGCCATGCGAGGACATGTCACACTTAAAGCGCGCGTGTGATGCCGCGATCGCACTGGCCCGACCATCTGCCATCCTGCCCCTCCCCCGCTGTAGACCCTACCGGCTATCTGCCACACTGCTTCTACCTAGACTTTGTTTACCCTGTTATTATTGAGACTTCTGGAAAGCACTTTCAAGAGCAACATGTCGGGTCAGGATTACTACGGTCAGGGCCAAGGCCACGGTCAAGGCTACGGCTACAGCCACGACAACGCATACCAGCAGCAGCAACAGCATGGCTATGGACAGCAGAATCAGGGCTACCCTCCGCAAGGCCAGGCGTATGGACAACAACCGCACGACCAGTACGGTCAAGGACATCACAGCCCTTACCCTCAAGGCCAGGTCAGCACTCTTGCGCTCCATCGGCGCATTCCATCTACCATGCTACAAGTGCTAATGTCCTCGCAGAGCCAGTACCCTCCACCGTCGCACGATCCCTACGCGCAGCCTCCTCAACACGGCTATGGTGCCCCTCCGCAGGAGCAGTACCAGCAGCAAGGCTACGACCCAAACCGCAGCACTTCTCCCTACCCACCGCAGCCACACCAGCAGCAAGGCTATCATGACCCCAACCAACAGTATGGAGCGCATCAGCAACAGGGCTACCACGACCCACAACAGGGCTATGGTGCGCCAGCATACGGCCAACCCGGTGCACCCGGTGGTCCAGCTGAAGGCGACCGTGGACTTGGTTCGTCCCTCTTGGGCGGCGCAGGCGGCGCATTTGTTGGCAACAAACTTGGAGGCGGAGCGCTGGGCACCATAGGAGGTGCGCTGTTGGGAGCGGTTGGCGCCAACCTAATACCTGACAAGTAAGCTGAATACAAACTCTAGCACTATAGTGGACACGATCTGACTTGACTCTAGGAAGGACAAGAAACACAAGAAGCACAAGAAGCACGGTAGCTCTGAGCATGGCTCCCACCATGGGTCTTCGCATCATTCGCACCATAGCTCGCATGGCCACGGTCACAAGCACAGGAGCCATAGCAGGAGCCACAGCAGGGGCGGCAAGAGCAGCTCTAGCTCTAGCAGCGACTCGGACTAGACGAGGCGCACGTATACTGCGTTGCTGGCTTAAGGATGCCGCGCGCATGCAGGTGATGGTAAGGTCGTAGTAATATCTCTGGACAATCGTATCCCTATTCATCAAGCCGAGCACCCACTCTTCCACATGAAAGCTACATTTGATCGTATTCAGATTTTGCCTTTTCAGATTAGCTGCTGCATGATGACAGCGGGCTTGATAGTCGGATTTGCATCGGCAAAGAGAGAACTAATGTCTTGCATGCAGATGTGGATCAGACCCTGTTCGCCCAAAATAGTTAGGCGTGCCACCAGACAGCCCTTTTTCTCCACTGACTTACTCATCGCCGCAAATTCCAAAAGCAGCCCCGCAACCACGCTATGAGTATGCAAAATTATTGGAATCTGTGAATGACTTATCGTGCAAGCCTCTATAGCCTTGCGCCCGATACTGTCTCACTCCCGATTTTACATTAATCGACATCACAAACATGGCTGACGTCTTTTTGAGTTTCTTCCGCAGTTCGTTGCCGGACGAACTTGCGGCAGTGCTTGAAACCACTATCAAGGCAACCGAATCCGGGGATTTTTTGAAGGTGCTCCAACTACCGGAAGCGCAACTCCTTCTAGGCTGTGAGGACAATGAAGCCACCAAGGACGTTAGAAGAGGCGATTTTGCTGTCTGGAACGACTATATCTTTCGCCGCCTGGGACTACTTCTGTCAAAACCGAATGAAGTGGATTCGGGTTCAATACAAGAAACAGCAGCATACAAGCAACATACATATCTCCTGATTGCGGTCGCTGCGTTGTATGCATTTCTGCAGTCCAATGTCACTGGACCGCCACTACCTTTCAAGTCTGCCGAAACACTTTTGTCGGAAGACATCACAGGCGATGTAAAGGCTCTCAGCAAAGCAAGGGCAGATCTCGTTGCATCGCTTAGCACAGATGGTGTTGCAGCATACAAACTTACACCAAACATCGAGCTACTGTGCCTCGCACAAACTATCCTCATCAGCCCGGCCATTCGAAAGAACATTCCGGTCGCAGCATGGGCGCGCCTCAGAGCCAATTTTGTTCATCAGAGGCTGCTCAGCGAGTCAGCACCGAGTTTACAAGATGCCATCTATGACGACTTGAAGGTCGTAGAAGATTTGATTCAGAGCTCAGATAAGAGCAAGGAGATTAAAGACTTACATGCCAGCTTCTTACTGGAACGAGCAGCGGTTCATACACATCATGGTCTGGATAAGAAAGCTAAGGCGGATCTTGATCAGGCAACGTCAGAACGCAAGTTCGAGTTCGCATTGACTGGACTCATGGGAAAGAGAACGAAGTTCCAGCAGAAAGATACTAGCCAGCTCATCGTACTCGCCCGAAGTGCAGGGTCGGATACCGATGGCGCAGCAGACGCAAGCTCAAAACCAAAAGCCTTGGACCTGAACGACGATACCTTGCTTGAGTCTATTTCCTTCACCAACGATACTGCGTCCATGGAAATCAAGGATGAGTCCTCTCTACCGTCATCTCTCACATCCATGGACCCATCGAACCAACCTCTGCTCGATCCACTCGATTCCGTCATCATGCTCTCGCTGGCTGAGAGCATCAAGAACACGAACCCCGCCGATGGTCTTACGAGAGAACAAACCGAGCCGTACGCTACCAGAGTACTAGAGGGCGGTAGCTCGAACTGGCAAGTTTACACTCAAGCTCTCCTTGTGCGCAGTCGCATCGAAGGCTACAAGTCGCGGACTATGGAGCGAGGGTTGCTTCAACTGCAAGCACTGGTGGACCAAGTCATCGCGGAGACTTCTGGCGACGCGACCACTGATGCTGAGACGGGCGAAAAAATCACTTCTTTCCTTCCACAGGCGAAGGACAACGAGGCGGCATCCGTTGAAGAACGCCTTCGCTACATCTTCCCTCTCTGTTCACCATCCCGTTGGGAGCTGGAGTCTGAGCTTGCTGCTCGATGGGTCGCTCTAGGTGGTTTGCGATCTGCGCTCGAGATCTACGAGAGATTGGAGATGTGGGCCGAAGCAGCGCTATGCTATGCAGCCACCGAGAAGGAAGAGAGAGCGCGTAAGATGATCCGACGACAACTGTTTCATGCTACCAACGGTGATGATGAGAATGTGGATCTCGACGAGGAGAAGTGGGAGGGTGCTGAACGGAACCCACCGCCAGCCGAAGCACCACGTTATTACTGTATCCTGGGCGACATTGACAACGATCTCTCCATGTATGAGAAGGCTTGGGAAGTCTCGGGCAAACGTTACGCGCGCGCTCAACGATCGCTCGGTCAACGCTATATCGCAGCACGCAACTACGAGAAAGCCGTAGAAGCCTACGAGCTTTCACTCAAAATCAACTCGCTCTACCATCCCGCATGGTTCGCCCTCGGATGCGCATACCTCGAAACCCTCCAATTCAAGAACGCCGTTGAGGCGTTTTCCCGCTGCGTCCAACTCGACGACCAGGACGCCGAAGCATGGAGCAACCTCGCCGCCTCCCTTCTGCACCTCAAGCCCAAGATCCAGGAAACGGAAGATGGCGAGCTGCAAGAGACAAGAGTGACAAATCACCCTCGTACCGACGCTCTCAAGGCTTTCAAACGTGCCGCCACTATCAAGCACGACAACTACCGCATCTGGAATAATGTCCTCGCCGTCAGCGCCTCCACCAACCCACCCTCTTGGTCCGACGTCGTAACTGCACAACGCCGTATCTGTGAGCTCCGCGGCTCCACCGAAGGCGAAAAGTGCGTTGATGCAGAAGTCATCGACATGCTAGTCAAGCACGTCGTTTCCAGCGAAGAAGAGTTTGATATCTCACGTCCTGGTCTCCCCCGCCTCGTAAACGACCTCATCGAGAAACACATCAAGCCTCTCATCACAGTATCGCCCAAACTATGGATTATCCTAGCAACATTGTACACGCACACCAAGCGACCGAGTTCGGCGCTAGAATGTCACGAGAAGGCGTGGCGAGCAGTGACGAGTCAGCCGAAATGGGAGTCTGGTACCGAAGTAGAGTGGAATGCCGTTGTTGAGATGACGATGGATCTACTGGATGCCTATGAGACTTTGGGACCCCGTGAGCGCACCGAAGGTCTGGCGGCTGGAAGTGGGGAGCTGGTGGCCAAGGACTGGAAGTTCAAGTCAAGGAGTGCGGTGAGGAGTGTCATGGGTAAAGGTAAGGACAACTGGGAAGATAGTGCTGGGTGGGAGAAGTTGGTTGAAAGATTGGAGGAGTTGAAGGGGAGGGAATAGATAGGTCGGGATTTGGGACGAGTATGAGTTTTGTTCATAACTACGTATCTAAGAGAAAAGCATGTCTTTCTATCAGAGTTTCTTGCTTATATAATACTAGCGGATCACTCACGGAGCGAGATGAACGCTAGAGATATCAAGGGGTGTGAGCTTCAAGGTGGCACGGTTGTAGCCGGCGCTACTTAGGTACGTAGGTGGCTGCGGTGCAGAGGGAAACCCAACGAACATACTAAATACAAACAAGCCATCTTCGCAGGACACCATACGCCCACGATCATGTTATTTCTATCGAAAGTCCTTCTCTTTGCGCCATACCTATTACCAATCTTGGCGAGTGCTCATCACTCTCAACGGCAAGGGCCCTTCGCCCTGACGTTAAACCCAACGTCTATCATAGCTTCACGAGTCAACTCTTCAGGTCGTGTCGAACTACGGACATACCAGGCCACCTCCGAGTATCTCTCGTACTTTGACGACACCATAAGTCAATTCGATCCGCAAAATAGATTCAACAAGCCATGGAAATGTAGCAAGGCTGCAATATCCACGTTTCGCACTGCTATCGCTGGCATTACGAAGGACTTGACCGAATCTCTCGGATATAGACCCAAATATTCTACATTAAGTTTGCCCTGCGATCTTCAGCCATTCATCTTGGTGCGCCGCCTACCGAGCAATCCGCACCTCACCCGATGATGACGACAGACCATTCGATCAACTAAAAATAGACGATCGACCATTCAGCGAAAGATATGGGGGAGCGGCCGCTTGCGAGGCTTATGACTTGTTTCATCGATGCGATCGGTTGGGTCGAGCGCCTGAAGACTGTAACGAGGATGGCCCTGTGAACTTGATCATTGGGGTTGAATACGAACAAAGCTATATGCATGTCAGGCTTTTCGAGATGGTATATGACCACCATGGTTATGCAAACGTTACTGAAAAGATGTGCCTTGAGTGCGGGCTTCGTTTCAATAAGGTATGTGAACCACCATCGTAGTTATTCTAGAGTCATCGTGGGAGTTAATCTGATCGTAACAGACTGAACATGCAACAAGTTACGAGGATCGTATCCGCAGCTTCCTGGACAGCTCCATCCGAGAAGTAGTAGCGAGCGATAAGTGGTATGAGATGGACGACCTTCGGGCAGTGGTTGTCGTCGGTGAAGTTCCGCGAGCAGCAATCGCAAAGCTGGAAAACTTAGTCCAGGAGACCATGAAGTTGGACCATATCACGATGCTGAACGACATTGATGTAGCTCTTGTCAAATCCTATGCATACTGAAGTTCATCCTGGGGCCGATCAAGATCAAGTATTTGTATCGCCGCCGCTAGAGCACAGGGAATTATAGGACAAAAACGACTGCACTGTACTTCCTCTAGGCTAGCAACTTTACCCTAAGCAGATTGTAGCGGATGATACTACTTGCATATAACTGGGATGTAAAGCAAAATATCAAGTTAGCAGCCAATATTATCGTCCGTATGAGGTATTGAAAGCGTCTCGTGGTCAATCATGGATGTCTTCCAAAGGATTCAGTTAAATCCGGAAGTATGCGGCGCACATTTCAGTCGCGCTATACTTCGACAACATGGAGACTTTGCGTGCATTCAATCGTTGTCTTGGCAAGGACTGAGCGAACGGGAAACCTTGATCTCACTTGTTCTGACTCCACAACGAGCGTTATGTGGGGTTCCCCAGGCTAGTGAGGGGGTTCCGGAGGCTAGCGTACTTGATTTGTGGG